TCCTTTTAAAACCACACTATGGTTTTTATTTGCCTTTTCTTTTCTTTTGAAATTTTGATATAATTACATCATTTCTCCCTTCCCTCTCCTCCCCCCAAACCTTCCTCTATATCCTTCCTTGTTTTTTTCAAATTCATGCCCTCTTTTTTCATTAATTGTTGCTACATACATATATGTACAAGTCCACCATACATATATATTCATAAATACATGCTATGGTTTTAATTGTTTCTGTAACACTAATGTAACATCGTTTCACATATCCATCTGGCATTGAGAACGCTTTTTAATGGCATGGCAATTCCAGTCTCACCCATTTCTTTATTGGGCAGTTTGCCTTCTGTTTTACTGACTTGAAAGAATTTCTAGTATAACCTAGATTGGTCCTTGGTTGAATATGTGTATTTTCAGTATCTTTTACCTTTATTGCCTTGCCTTTCTCTCTTTGTTAACAATCTTAGGATGATTAAAAGTTCATTAACTCCAGTTCAGGGGATCTAATGCCTTTTTCTGGCAACTATGGATATGGGACATGTACATGGTGTATGTAGGCAAAATATACATTCGCATACAATAAAAATAAATACATCTTCACAATCAAGATTATGAATATAATGTATATTAATTTATGAATGTTGTTGTTGTTTTGAGATAGTGTCTCTTTGAGTAATCAAGGCTGGCCTTGAACTTAAATCTTTCTGCTTCAGCCATCTTTGTGCTGGGATTATGAGGTACTACCACTATGCCTGATTTCTGACATTTTTTTAATATTGAATATTTGGATCTATGAAAAAAAGTGTAATCCTATTTATTAGGTCTTTAAATTTTAGGGAAATTACAATTTTCTGAGTAGGAGGCTTATTGATAAATTTATTTCAATTTTTATTTAAAAATATTTATTTTTAAAATTATGTGTATGTATGTGTGGTAGTTTGAATGTAGTTGGCCCCCATAATCTCATAGTGAGTGGCAGTATTAGGAGGTGTGGCTTTGTTGGAGTGGGTATGGCCTTGTTAGAGGAAGTGTGACACTGTGGGGACGGGCTTTAATGTTTCCTATGCTCAGGATACCACCCAGTGTCTCAGTCAATTTCCTGTTGCCTGTGCCTGCAAAATGTAGGACTCTACTCCAGCACTGCATCTACCTGTATGCTTCCATGCTCCCTGCCATGATGATAATGGACTGAACCTCTGAAACTGTAAGCCAGCCACCTCAATGAAATGTTTTCTTTGTAAGAGTTGCTATGGTCATGGTGTTTCTTCTTCTTCTGTTTTTTTTTTTTCATTTTTTTCTTCTCTTTTTAAAAATTTAAGTTAGAAACAAGCTTGTTTCACATGTCAGTCCCAGCTCCCTCTCCCTCCCCTCCTCCCCATACCTCCCCACCAATAGTGTTTCTTCATAGCAATGAAAACCCCAAGACAGTATGCATCTGTGTGTGGGTATGTGCATGTGAGTGTAGTGTTCAAGCAGGCCTGAGACATCAGGTACCAGGGAGCTAGTGCTATAATGTGGGTCCTGAGAATCAAACTCAGGACCTCTGTGAGAACAGGGATTGTTCTTGACTGACAAACCATCTCTCCAGTCCCTATTTGTTAATTTTTTTATGTATTTGTTGTTTGAGACAGAGTCTTTCTATGTAGCATTGACTGTCCTGGAACTTACTACCAATGGCTGGCTCATAGAAAGTGCTGGAATTTTAGCTTTGGACAACCACACCTGGATATTTATTTATTTACACACATGATCTGGTTATATAGCTCAAGCTAATCTAGAACTCACTATGTAGCCCAGGTTGGCCATGATTGTTTGGAAATTTTTTGCATGATAAATGACTCAGAGACTGATATTGGGGTTCAAGCTTCAAGATGAAGATCAGAAAAGCAAAGCAGCTGGCCACTAACTCTTACGCTACCTCAGACTAAAGGGCGATCCTGGCTCCACCAAACCTTAGACTGCTGCTTCTCCCCAGCGTGGCTGGAGAATCCTGAGACTGCATGTCTTCCTATCCTCCTTGATACTGAGTCTTCCTATCTTCATTGTGGCTGGAGATACTGACTACTGAAGACCCTCCTCTTATTTTTTATACTCCTCTAGTGCTAGAATTAAAGGAGTATGATCCCAGGTGCTGAGATCATCTTTGAGTGTGCTGTTTCTCTTTAGGACTGGATCAATCTTGTGTAGATCTGGATGGCCTTGGACTCACAGAGATCCATCTACCTCTTAATCCTGAGTCTTAGGATTAAAGGTTTTTTACCACCGCCTCCTTGCTTCTTGCTGCTGGGATTAAAGATGTTTATCACCATTGCCTGATCTCTATAGCTTGAGGCTGAATTTGCTTTCTGAATCCTCAGGCAAGCTTTATTAAATCATAAATAATGTGTCACCATAGAAATCTGCCTCAGCCGGTCAGTTGAACTGTTAATGGAAAGGCTAGTGAGTGTGGCCCAAATTCTGGGATTACAGACAGGCCTTCACTATCATGGCCAGCTCCAAACATAGGACCCCAAAAGGCAAGACTCTGAGGGTCGGGAAGGTCAGCTGAGGCCCTGTCAGTCAGTCCATCCTCCCAGGAGGGGCAAAACTACATCAGTCTGGCAGAGGGTGGTGGTTGTGAAGATTCAACAAAACAGGTTATCTTGGGTCTAGTTTTGTTTTGTTTTGCTTTTTTGAGACAGGGTTTCTCTGTATTGCTTTGGAGGTTGTGATGGAACTCAATGTGTAGACCAGGCTGGCCTTGAACTCACAGAGATCTGCTTGCCTCTGCCTCCGGAGTGCTGGGATTAAAGGCATGTGCCACCACCGCCTAACAACTTGGGTCTATCTTAAAAGCAGGAGTCAACTGGGCTCACAGAAGCTCTGGACATTGGAAACAAATGAAAGGAGAGGGATAAGGATGCTTTCCTGATTTTCATTTTGAAAGCTGAATGAATACTGGATAACAGTCTCATGGAGGTCATTGTTCTCCTTGACAGGATAAATATGAGATGATGAAGAGATTTGGACTAGATGCTAGGTAGCTAGGAACCTTCATGAATCAACCTCTTTTGAATTAATTAATTAACTAATTAATTTTAATATAGGGTCTTACTTGTAGTCCTAGCTGGCCTGGAACATACTTCCTATGTAGATCAGACTGGTCTCAATCTCACAAGCGATCTGCCTACTTCTGCCTGAAATACTAGGATTAAAGATCTGCACCATCCCACTCAGTTTCTCAATAATAAATAAATAAATAAATAAATAAATAAATAAACGAACGAATAAATAAATATATAAATAGTTTCTTTTGGGATAGGATTTCATGTATCCCAGGCTTACCTAGAACTATTGGAATTTCAGGCATGTAATGCCATGCCCAGTTTCATTCAGTGTTGGAGAGCAAACACATGGTTTGTTGTATAATAGGTAGTTAGGCAAGCAATCTGCAAATGGAGCCAATCCTTAGGCCTGCCTGGATTAGGATTTGGTGATGAAATCTAAGATGCAGATATTTGAAAATCATTATATTATAGATCAAAAGTCAGAGTTGAATAATAGTTCTGGATTGTTGGGGAAGTCATTTGTTAATAAAGCACTGTTGAGCCAATAGGAATCTAGATAGGTGGGACTAGGAGTCCAGGAGGATTCTGGGAAGGAGAAACACAGGAAAGTCAACATGTAACCGCCATGGGGTAGGAGCCCGGAACTATTCTCTGGTAAGAGACATACTTAGATTAACAATTATGGGGTAATTGTTTAAAGCAGAGCTAGCCAGTAAGAGATAAGCAAGGCCAACAGCTTCATAATGAATATAGCCTCCTGTGTGTTTATTTGGGACTGATGCGGCTCTAGAACCAGGCTGGCGGGAAGGCATCCTCTCCAAGGAAAAAGCTTCTCTTTACACTGGATGGTTGAATAAAGATCATGGACCGAGTCCTAGATTCTTCACTATTTAAAGCTTATGACAAAATTGGGCTGGGCATAGTGGCACATGCCTTTAGCACCTCGGAGACACAGAGGCTGAGGCAGAGGCAGGTGGATCTCTGGGAGTTTAAGGCCAGTCTCCTCTGTATAGCGAATTCCATGGCTGCATAGTGAGACCCTGGAGAGGAAGGGGGTGGGAGGATGTGGGAGATAGACAGGAGAGAGAAGAGAGGAGACAGAATGAGACAGAGACAGAGACAGAGACAGAGGAAGGGGACAGGAATGGAATGTCAGGACAAGACAGTGACAGCGATATGGAGGAAAGTTCAGGAAGAATATGTTTCAAGAGAAAGCAAGCACACCACCTGGTAGCAGTTCCCTCTAACCGGTTTAGATAAGACCTGAGAGTAGACTTTGCAAAGGTGTAGATGAACAGTCATCTTGATAAGTGATCAAGATGATGGCAGTCTAGCTGTATCAGGATAGGTTGACAGGTCAGTGCCACTGAGGAAGTGGGAGCAAGTACTGTAGACAAATGAAGTCATGTTTGCGAATTTATTCAGCAAAGAAAGCAGAGAAATACAGTAGTTACTGAGGCAATTTTGAATCTAAAGGAAGTTTAAATTTATGTAAGAGGAAATTTGATAAGTTTATATGCTGGTAAGAATGACTCAGTGGAGGAGGGGATTGGAAACTATAAAGACACTGAAGAAAACTTTAGGAACGTGAGAGTGGAAATAATCTAGGTCACTGGTCAGGACCTGGCCTCCTTGACTTCTAGGACACTTCAGCATAACCCAAATGTTAAGAGAATTTTGATAGTGAAAAGTTGATCAGTATAAAAGGCTGGGGTTTTGCAGGAAGTAAAGACGTTTAGTAGAGAGGAGTAGGCATGAAATAATCTTTCAAGTCTAAATATCAATGTAGTTGGAGAAAACCCTCTTGGGATTAAGCACACCTCCGGCTAAACCATTTTTCTGTCTTAGTGAGCTTTTTGAATTCAATGCTAGTCATCACCATTAGTAGCTATACCATTATTAGTTTGCAGATCTATCTTCCGTGAGCGACAGGATAGTGATCTTGATTTCTGAACTCACCGAGCGAGGTGACGAATGGAAGTCAGCAGAATTTGTCTTTGGTCACCCTGCTTTGAGCGAACCCCTTTTCTCTTCTAAGCTTTTATTTCGGAAAAGATACCGTGGGAATGATAATGTTTTCTTTGACGACCTCACTGTTTCATCATAAGCATCTGCGTCAATAAACACAGAAACATCAAAACTGGCTAATTGTGCCCCACATTCAGCTGTGTACGATGCAGTGCGGAACGCATCTAGCGGATGGGGGGGCGTTGTGGCTTCTGTCAACAGGGGCTCAAGCTTGGTCAGTGGAATAGCAGAAGGGAGAAGCTCAGGCCAACATCCCCAGCTGCGGCCTCTTTTCCGGACGCTCCTGGCCCGGCCGGTGTGGGGGCGGGGAAACCGAGGTGGTAGTAACTGTCAAACCTCCCGCTTGGCGCCATTATTTAAATAGTACGTGCCGGTCTAGCAGCTGTGCGTGCCCGAGGCGGGGCGGTGAGCTCCGGGAGCGGGGCGGAGGCCAGGGGCGGGGCGCGAAGGCTGAGGGGCGGGGTGGGGGCGGGGTGAAACTAGCTAGAGGGGAGGGTCCAGCGCGGCCCCCGGCGAGCTTCACTGCGCTTGCGCTGACAGACGCAAGATGGCGGACAGTGCGGAACTAAAGGTAAAGCGCAGCTCGAATTCACTTCTAATATTCGGCCGCGGAGACGGCGCCGCTGGTGCCGGGGGGGATGGGTCGGACCCTGGGGGGCCGCTCGGGCCGGGCTCCACCCGGGTCTGGAGTTGTAGGCGGGAGAAGCGCTCCGGCCCTCAGTGGAGGGGGGCCTGGCTGCGGCGGGCCGTGGGCCCCGGGTGCCTCGGGGGCGCTGACGGGTCGTCCCCGGCGTGTTATTGTTGTGGGCGCCTCTGGCGGGGGTGGCGGGGCGAAGAGAGAGTGAGTCGGGACGTGGCGGTAGTGGCGGTCCCTGGGGCCCGGGTGCCTCACCTTGCAGTCCGCCTCCCCGCCCCCCCTACGGGCAGCCGGGGGCTGGGGGGGTAGGGTGCGCTTGGAAGGGGGGGATTGGGAAAACTGCCCCGCCGCCGCTTCCTCTTCCTCTTTCGCGGTCCCGGGCTCCTGTCAGGCGCTGCGCTCGGACCCCCGGGAACTTGGCTCCGGCCGCCCCGCCCCTCCGCGGCGCCCAGGCGCCCCCGCCCCGCTCGCCGCCGCTGCCCGCCTGTCAGTGGGTGCCGGGCCAGTGGGAAAGCGTAATCCTGGGGCTATCGGCTGGGGGACACCGGGGAGACGCTCTTGGAAAGTTTAGCGAGCCCGGAGCCGGCGTTGGGGGTTCGGCTAAGGGTTGCAGGGGGAGTCTGCCGGGGCGGGACGTTACTGTTACTCTCTTGGTTCCGGGCCACCGGGGTGGGTGGGGGAGTAACCCCCTGGAAGTGTGTGCACTTGGGAGCGGTGGTGGGGATGCAGCCACCTCTCTACTCTCTTGCTGTCGCTGGTGTGGTGGGTGAGAGCAGCCTTGGGGGTCTCTGCACACACCATGATGGCGATGCTATAGCTGATGGAGGTGAATGGTTTGTGTTTATATTCTCCCGTTGCCTTTTGTTTGTTAGGGACATCTTGCTGGCCATGTTGATTTAAACGAAATTCTCCTCCCACCCCCCATCCTACTCCAACCTCCAATAAATAGAATGTTCCATCGTTCCTCTCAACTGTACCAATTACTCATGCCTCGCGAAATTAGATGAAAGGGTGCCCCCTTTCCCCCGCTTTTTCTCCCACCCTAATCTTTACCTGATGATGGTTTCTTTACCGAAGCAGATATACCACTACACAAGCAGTTGGGGGAGGGCTGGTGGAACCCTTATGATTGGATTGTGACAAATGGGGCTCCGCTTGAATAATTTTGGTTTAGTAGCAGGCAGTTCTTAACTAACACATATTATTTAGAGGCTCTGAACACGGTATTCCCTTTTCTGGCTTCCTGTGTGCGAACCAAACAGCTGGTTATAGCCCAACAGAGAACTAAAATCTCTGTCAGAGTGAAGATTGGGCTATGCAATTGTAATTCTTCGGGGGGATTTAGAAATTATTTTTGTAATCAATAAAAATTATTTTTCTCCATTATGATGAAATAACTTCTAGAATAAGCAGAGCACTACATTTTTTTTTCCTTCTGGGCACTTTAGTGTGTGGAAAGCCTCACTAGAAGATCCTTTTTAACTAGTAACTTTGCAGTGTTAACATTCTAAGATTTTTGTATTAAGGTCTTTGTACAAGATTCGGATATTTGTTCTTTTTTTTTTTTTTTTTTTTGGTTTTTCGAGACAGGGTTTCTCTGTGGCTTTGGAGGCTGTCCTGGAACTCGCTCTGTAGACTAGGCTGGCCTCGAACTCACAGAGATCTGCCTGCCTCTGCCTCCTGAGTGCTGGGATTAAAGGCGTGTGTCGTACCAACGCCCGGCCGGATATTTGTTCTTTTAAGTTTACTTCTAATTACTAACTTGTTTAAAGCAGAATGGGTTGAATGGAGAGTTCCTTTTGTTTGTCTGTTTGTTTTTAAGATGGGTTTACTGTGTAGCTCAGGCTGGCCTGGGACTCACTGTGTAGACCACGCTGGTTTTGAACTAGTAGAGATTCTCCAGCCTCTGCTTCTCTAGTGCTGGGATTAAAGGCATGCACTACTATGCCCTACTTGGAAAATTTCATTTATCCCAATTTCAGACTATTGATTTGACTAAGAAAGCCTCAAAAATTTGAAATTTTGGAGATAATCAACTTGCAATTAAAGACAAACAAGCAAGCTGAGTGATGGTGGCACATGCTTTTAATCCCAGCACTGGGGAGGCAGAGGCTGGACGATCTCTGAGTTTGAAGCCAGCCTGATCTGCAAAGTCCACTTTTATGTTTTCCGTTGGTGTGCCTGAGACTTTGAGAACTGTGATAGATTTCTTAGCTGGCTGTGTTAAAACTTTTGTTAATGCTTCATTGTGGTTAGGATTACTATTCTTTTTTGCGGAGTAGGAGAGGTGATAACAGGAGAGCCTACCATAGTTTACTTAAGCATGCATATAAACCTGGCAGTGGTGGTGCACACTTTTAACCCTAGAACTGTGGAGGCAGAGGCAGGCGGATCTTTGAGTTCAAGGCCAGCCTAGTTTACAGAGTCAGTTCCAGGAAAAGCTCCAAAACTACAGAGAAACCCTGTCTGGAAAAACCAAAAAAGAATGCTTATTATTTTTTTGTGCAGTGAAGTTGGGAAGATATTCCTCTCAGAAATATTTTTTCAGGGTGTGTGTGTGAGAAAGATTGATTTTTGGAGGTGAATACCCTATATTCTATAAAATAGGGGAAAATCCAAATGATAATTAGAGGGAGAAAAATCCTTGATTTAAAAAAATTTTTTTTTGTTTTTTGTTTTTACGAGACAGGGTTTCTCTGTATTGTTTTGGAGGCTGTCGGTCCAGCCCAGCCTCAAACTCACAGAGATCCGCCTGCCTCTGCCTCCCCAGTGCTGGGATTAAAGGCATGCACCACCACGGCCCATTTTTTTTTTTAAATTTTTAAATGGAGATACCTAACTCTAATGGGAGCCACTGAGCAAATACTAATTGTTTTTTTTTTTTTTTGCCCTTGTCCCAATTCACAACCCACATTTGACTATGCTGTGGATTATAACTACTTTTCTAATGGCCCTTTTAGTGAATCCTTTTAAATCTATAGTGAATCTGCAAATATCAGATGGGAAAAACAGATCTGTATTCCCTGTAGGGATAATACAAGCTTGGAGATATTGCCAGTGTAAACTAGATTGTGAGTCATACATATCAAAATGAGTTCTCTGTGCTCTTTTGCTTATGAAAAGTTTAATTTTTCACTAGGGGAATACCCACAAGTGACATCTGGGAGGCTATGAAGGTGAAGTCACTGCAAGTGGGCAGACCAAGTGATCTTGGTAGTGATAACCTGACAGTTTCATTGTTTGTTGTTTGTTTTTTTTTAGACAGAGTAGCCCTGGCTAGCCTGAAACTTGCTTTGTCTCTGGATTGCTGGGATTAAAGGTATGTCACCATGCCTGTATATCCTTTAAAAATATTCTTTTAGACCTGGGCAGTGGTGGTATATACCTTTAATCCCATCACTTGTGAGGTAGGCAGGCTGATCTCTGATTGTGATGCCAGTCTGGTCTATAGAGCAAGTTTCAGAACAGCTATGGCTACACAGAGAAACCCTGTCTCAAAAAACAAAACAAAACAAAAAACCTTTTAGGTGGGGCAGTAGTGGCACACGCCTTTAACCTCAGCATTCGGGAAGCAGAGGCAGGCAGATCTCTGAGTTCGAGACCAGCCTGGTCTAAAAGAATTAGTTCCAGGACAGCCTCCAAAGCCACAGAGAAACCCTGTCTGGAAAAACAAAAACAAAACAACAACAACAAATTTTTAGAAGGCTCCCATGCCTTTAATCTTAGTACTTAGGTTAAGATGGAGGAATGTGAGTTCTAGGGCAGCCTGAGCTATATAGTAAGACTATCTAGAAAATAAACCATGTTAGAACAAAACAAAACAAAACCTCAGACAACAACAAAACACCCTAAGCCAGTGGTTCTCAACTTTCTTAATGCTTTAATACAGTCCTCATATTGTGGTAACCATAAAATTATTTCTTTGCTACTTCATAAGTATAATTTGCTACTGTTATGAATTGTAATACAAATATCTGATGTGCAGGATATCTGATATTCAACCCCTGTGAAAGGGTCATTTGACCCCTAAAGGCATCTCGCCCCTTGGGTTGAGAACTGTTGTCCTAAACCAGTTAAAAACAAACAATAACAAACAAAAATAAATATTTTTCTTTTGCTGATAGGGACTCATTTTGTAGTTCCTGATGGCCTGGAGTTGACCACCTTGCCTCAGTCTCCAGAATGCTGGGATCTCAGCATGAGCCACCACACTCACCTTCCAAAGCCATTATTTTCTCTTAACAAATGATTTTTGCATTAAAACTCAAAGCAAGTTGTATCGCTTTTTAACTCACAGGCGAAACAGTAGGAGGGAAGGACTCATTGCTTTCAAGGAGTAAATAATGGAATCCAATGAGAAGGGAAGCCATACTTTTATAAGTATCTGCTGTGTAAGCATATCAGTAAATTTTGTTGTCATATCTGTCTCTTTATTTTCAACAAATAACCACTTAGTTTTGATCTCTGTGGTGTAATTTGTCTGCTTTTATTTCACATGGAAGCAAGTAAATTTGGCATTTTATTCATGGATCTGATTTTAATCTCTCTGACTTGGTTTTGTGAAATGCTGCATTTAGATGGCTTTTGTTTTCTGTCACTTCTTGGGAACAGTATTTTAAAACCATTTGAAAAACACTTTAGTTTTTAAGTACTTCATGTAATTGTTTGAAATATTGCCGCCTTTTCCTTGGGGGTTTTCTCAGGGTGACTGCATTGTCTTTCTCTTCAATGAGTGTCTTGTAATCCCCTTTGATTGCAGTAGTTCTTAGTAGTGAGTCCATAGCTGATTAACCTTGGGTCTCTCCTGGTGAACTCCATCAGCATGCTGCTCCAGGGTTCATGCTGAGGCTTTTGATTTCAATGTAATTTGTATTCTTTCATGCTGGTAACTAGGGATAAGAAAATAAAGTGGTTTATGGTTGTAGTAGGATCTAGGAGGAAGTATCTGTCTCAGAAAGTAGGATTTTATAGGATGTAACCTAGTAAAAACTAAACAAGAACTTGGTTCATTACTTCACAGAATTGATGGTACTGTTTTATTAAGTGTTCAGCTCTGTTACTAAGGATTTGGTTTTTATTTTTTTGAGATAATAGTTTCATGTAGCTCCAGGTGGCCTTAAACTATGTGGCTGAAGATGACCATGAACTCCAGATGTTGCCTCTATCTCCCAAGGGTTGAGATGACAGGCACAAACCACTATGCTCTACTATCTTCTACTGTTTGAAGAATATTTATATCTTAGTTGTGTAGTTCTATTCAATTTATACTTCATCACATTATAGCCTTTGCTCTTTACAATAGTTCTTCAGAATAGAAGAGGAATGTAACAGGTAAGGACATTTTACCAACAGTAGTGGCAAGAACTTGGATCTGAGTCTTTGGTTTCAAAGCTTTTCTCTGTAGGCCTCCCTAAAGATGCCAGAGTAGTCCTAGAGGTGTTTAGGTATCTAGCTCACAAAGAGTTTTAATGTTGCTAACATGTTTCTTTTTGCTTAATGTGAGGGTATTTTGGAGGGACACTATGCTTTTTTGTAAACTGCCTTTTTTTTTTTTTTTAAAGACAAGGTTTCACCATATAGCCCTGGGTGGTCTGTAACT